GGAGAAATTTTAAGACCTACTTCATATTGTCAAATTGTTTGATGGATAAAAACTTAATCAAATAAAAAAAAAACGAGTGTAAATAAAAATGCAGGGCCAGGCCAGGTACAGTGGCTCATTCCTGTAATCCCAGCACTTTGGGAGGCTGAGGCAGGCAGGTCACATCAGACCAGGAATTTCAGACCAAGCAGGTCAACATGGCAAAAGCCTGTCTCTACTAAAAACATGAAAATTAGCTGGGTATGGTGCTACACGCCTATAATCCCAGCTACTTAGAAGGCTGAGGCACAATAATCACTTGAATTCAGGAGGCAGAGGTTACAGTGAGCTAAGATCACACCACTGCACTCCAGTTGAGGAGAAAGAGCAAGACTCTATCTCAAAAAATAAACAAAAATAAATAAGTGCAAGGCCATACTCAGCTGGACCGAAACAGAACAAGTGTGCTCATCACCACATAGAATGGGGCATTTCAACACAATGAGGCCGATAATGGGGAGCCACTGCAGGTCCTTGAAAAGGATTAATAGGATATTTTGGGAGATTTTTCAGCTACTGCTAGACCCACCGTGAACTGGAAGAAACCAGAGACTGGAGGCCAGAGACCAACAAGAGAGTTGTTATAGTTGTCTTTGGTATAAGGCGATGAGGGTCTGGATTAAGATGAGGCAGCAGGAACAGTGCAAGGACATCTGAGAAACAGCAATATATGGTACATGACCAATGAGAATTACTGGTTCGTACAAATTTATTATCAGCAGATTCATTAAGTAAGCTTCTCTACAGCTTGGCTCTGATAGACAGGGAGTCTTTTGATTGATTTATCATCCATTCATTCATTCCTTCAACAAAAAGGGGGGACCAGAAATACACATCTGCTTAATATTTGATTACCCCAAAAGCTAACTAGGAATACCTTCCAATTATCTGCAGTATAACCTGTTTGTTGTTGTTTCAATGACTTAGAACGGAACAGCAGTCTATAAACCCTGAAATTCCACTAAATTACCACTATATCAGAAAATCATCACATGGAAATAACACAATATGAGACCACTGGTCCAGAGTAAGCCTATCGTCTGGATGAATCTGAGATCAGCTTGCTTTTTCATAGGCATAATAGCCATTTGTACTGGAAATTTGAGAATTCTGGATTTAAAGGAATACGACAAAAGAAACTAGTCTTTGAACAAAAAGAAAGAGATTAGAAGAATGTTATTAGATTGTTTTTCACTGAAGCCTATACTACATGAAATTCTAATTTCATTCGTATGCAATTATTATGCTGAAACATAAAAAAGAGAAGGGGCAGTTGAAGAGTCGTTAATGACAGCTCAGAAGACACTTCTGAGTTTCAATGCTTAGTGTATGACTTAAAGATGAAGACAAAGCCAACAGCATTTTTCTTGAAATGCACACTGAGTTCACAGATGTTACATAATCACTTTTAAATTGGTGAAATAATCTTTTCAAACTGCTTGTCTGCTCAAGTTTTAGAACTGCAATATGTCAGCCAAACATATACCAAGTGAAACCTCATTTTAAAGGATAAATGTAAGTCCTTCTTGAGGTGTTTCATGACTGGGATATTGCACTCTTTCATTTGAAGCTTCGGAGAATATGGAATTGGCCTGGATAAATGGTTTTCAAATTTATCTAATAAAAATGTCAAAGCACTAACAGCCAGAATACTCTCCATTTACCCACATAAAATAATGGGGTGGGGGGGAGGCAAATTAAAAGCAATGAATTCAAAACAAAGATAATCAGAATAGACATTAATGTTTCAATCCCCTTCCTGAAAGTCCTAACCTCCACACAAAGTCACAGCGATTATTCAATTAAAACATATTTATAAAATCAAAGAGCCCTTCTTTCCTCAAAAACGCATTCTGAAGTTTGAAGCCAGCCTCAGATTTCTTTTAAATCATTCCTAAACCTTGGCCAATGGAAAAATCGCTCCATAATTTTTACATTTAAAACTATCTTCCATTGTCTTAATTATTTATACATTTCATAGATTACCTCAAACTTTGTTCCCAAGAAGAAAGCATGAACTGGATACAATAGGTAGCAGTGTCTAAGTTAAATTCACAAGAATCGGTAAATATTTCTACAGCTAGTTCAAAGTGTAAATATTTGGTTCCTGAAGAATCTCTATTATTGCCTGAAGACTAATCTTGTCTAGTAAGCTTCTTCAAATAAAGCAAAACTATGCTGGGAGAGAACTTTACTTGGTACACACCCACTTCCAAATTAAAAAAAAAAAAAGGAAAGCGGTAGTTTCTCTCCCCATCTGCCCAACTATGTAGGCAGAGGGATGTATGGTTCAAAAGTTTAACAGGGTATTTTTATTCCCAGCCACACCAAAAAATAACATCCTTCAGTGCTATTTCAGAAATTTAGAAGCACCATGTAAGTTCATCAAGTGTTTTGCTAAAGAACATATTCGAAAGACCTGGAACTGAACCTCAAAGTCCATCCGAAAACACAGACCAAAGATTGGGGGTTTTCCAAGCAAAATCAATGTGTGATTTAAATCTCACTAAGACTTGTTCCTATATTTTAACAAAGGAAAAATATTGTTGGTATTTTTACAGAGCCAAGAGCTTCTAGAAATAGCAGCTCTGGGTACCTGTCATCTGGTGGGTTTGCAGCAGCCTGATAGCGAACCTCCAGGGAAAAACATGCAAAAGTGAAAAGGATTTCTAAAAGTAGGTGAAGGGTCAGCAATGTAAATTCTAGCAAATACTTTGCTTTCTGGTCACACCTGCAGCTAAAAAATCAGGAGTTCAGGCCAGGCATGTGGCTCACGCCTGTAATCCCCGCACTTTGGGAGGCTGAGGTGGGTGGATCACAAGATCAGGAGTTCAAAACCAGCCTGGCCAAGATGGTGAAACCCTGTCTCTATTAAAAACACAAAAATTAGCTGGGTGCAGTGTCAGGTGCCTGTAATCCTAGCTACTTGGGAGGCTGAGGCAGGAGAATCGCTTGAACCCAGGGGGCGGAGGTTGCGGCGAGCCAAGATCGCACCATTGCACTCCAGCCTGGGTGATAGAGACTCCAACTGGAAAAAAAAAAAAAAATCAGGAGTTCAAGTTTGAATCCATTTATCCTAGATGCAAACTCTGCCAGGACCCAATCCTAGAAACTTCTAACTTTCTCTCTAAATGGATCATGTGTTTTGACAGGAGAAAGAACAATCCATCCTTCCTCAAAGGCAATGCACAGTGAGATGGCCAGGGCTGGAGACCTCAGGACAGTAGATGCCTCCCCATGGCAAAAACACGGGCCAGGGCCTCAGCCACCACCTACACTTGAGTCCCTCTGCCTTCTTCTGACTGCTTCATTTCCTCCTTAGACACCCCTAAGACTGTGTGTTTCTTTTGTTATTACATCCCCTCCTTACAAAACTTAGTCAAATTCAGCACTTCCCAGAACTTGGGATACACAGATGCTCACAGGTGCTGCACCAGCAAATGGTTCCAGGATGCAATGCTTTTAGGAAACTGTAAGTTAAGGATGGTTTAAAATGTTTCCTTTGCTGAAGGGTTTCTCCAAGTCTTCAATATGCTAACGTGTGTTGAGAAAGACTCATTTTCTAAATTCTTTTGACATGGATCCCTTTTGTGTGTCATAATTATTAACATCTCACTAAAGAGTTTTAGTGAATGAAACCCTTTTTGAGTTCAGCAAGAGTCTAATTGGAGGCTACTTGACACAGAACCCAACCCTGGGATATTAAACAACAACTTTAATAAGGCCACACTTTTTCTCCTGCCTCCAATTCACCTTCTCAAGGTCCTAAACTTTGGGGGAGAGGGATGTCTATTGCCCCTGCCCTCCAATCTGATTCCCTATGATGCATATTTGAACTAATAATCAGAGGCAAAGAAATGCTAAAAGGCTTAAAATTGATCCTTGAGGTCCTTTGCACAGCCCTTTTGGCCATAAGACTTAGGGATCAGACTTACTGGCAAGCAGTGTTCTGGGTGTGCCAAGAGTATCCCACACCTCCTTAGACAAATCTATAAGACACAAATAGCTGGAGTTGATATACTAAAGGAGATAATGGGCATAATAGCATTAGCTGTAATAAAATATAAGGGATTATTATTATTTTCACATCATTAAGTCAGCCCCTTTATATATCACCATGCACAATTAAGTGCTTAATAAATACTTTTCAGTATTGTAATAATAAAACTGAATAAACTCGATCCGTGAATTTCAGTTTGCAATTAAGTTTCTGAAACACAGAGATATGGAATGACATATGGCCAAAGTGGGGAGAGATGAGTGCAAAAGGGTGTTGAAGTGAGTAATGAAGTAAATGAGCCTGCAAACCAGGAGGACTGGTTGGACAGGTTGAGATTTACCCCCACAGGACCCAGAAATGACATCATGGGAATCCATATAAGACCAGCGATGCGGTTACGTGGCTGACAATTCCCAAACTCATCTGAAAAGTATGTCTGCTCATAATTGAGCCAATGCTCCACATATACAAAGACAAAATATTCTAGATAAGTCAGAAATGTGAACATTGATGGGGAAAGGAGGACAACGTAAGAGGAAAGAACTGGAAGGAGATAAAACAGCAGAGATTTCTCCAATTCAGTACCCACCAGAATTTCTGCTCTCTCGAAAGACAAAGGCATTTGCACTGAGTGTAGTGCCTGTGAATCCCATTACATCATATAAAGGTTACCCCAGGCTCTACTGGTTCAAGAAGAGGCAACCAAGCGTCATCAACCCCAAGGCACCAGTTGATATTGCCAACTCCCAGTTCATCTGTAGACGCCACTAAAAGGAAATAAGAATCTGGGACCCGGAAGACAAGAAGTGGCTCAGGCTACCCCAGGGAGGAGAGCCTGGGAGGCAGGTGCTTAACTCTTATCCTCACCCCCCACCCCAACTCCCCAACCAATTTTAATTCAAGGTAGGAATGACGGTTAATGTTTCCTAGATAAGGTAATAACCTTTTGTAAGAGGCAATCTTCTAAGAGAGGTAATCAAAAAAAAAAAAAAAAAAAAAAAAAAACAGGGGCCAAGGGGACCGGACCTAGCCCTGCTGCTAATTGGCTCTGGGAACTTGAAGCAATTTTTGCTCTCAGTCCTCCAGTGATCACCTCTGTAAGACAGGAGGAGCAAAAGAGATCATGAAAGTGAAGGTGCCTTGAAAGTGTAATGCACCACGGCATGTGAAAAGCCCGTTCTAGATGAGCTAAGCAGGGCCTTTCTAATGGGTCCTACTTTTGATTGGCTGCAGCCACCATCACGTAACTTAATGGAACCCATTCCCCTCTTTCATCCCCCAGAAATGCCAAAAACAACCTGGGTTTAATCAAGAGACCTACGTTTCCCCAATATACTTAGCTCAGAAAGATTGTCCATGGGCCCCAATGCCTTCTCCTTTTCTCTGTGTATCCGTTTGTATTTTCTCAGTTATGTTTTTACTTTCTGTATGTGTCCAATTTTATTTTCAATGATTGACCTGGATTTTAGGTTTTAATAGCCTAAATATCAAATTTTGTTAGTTCAGCTGTATAGTTAAAATGCTTTTACTCTTTTGCCCTTAATTAATGGATACCATTCAACAATGAAGAGTTCTGTTTAATCTTTTTTTCTCTAATGAGATTTAAATTATTCTTTGTTTGCACATGGCCCAGGAGAGGCTGTTCTTGGGGGCTGGCTGAAGAAGTCATGCAAGTTGGCCTCCCTTAGTAGAAAAAGATTCACTGTGACTATAAAATCAAGAGCTTCCCCACCTGGTAGTTATTTAGGAAGCTGATTTTTTTAACTTAATCACAGGATTTTTACACTTATATTAAATTCCACTTTTGTTAGTTTTGACCTAGCAATTCATCCTGGACATCCGTTTTTAAATTAAGCTTTTATTGTGTTTTTTTAAATGATTTTTTAAAGCAAAGACTTACAAAGTCAAAGGAAGGCCCAGTCTTCTCCTTTCCCCAGCCCCACTGTGCCACTGTCAGAAAACAGAGTCTATAATACTGAATGGCTATTTACTCCACACATAGTTACACAATTTGGGAAAATCCATGTGAGGAATACCTCCCAAAGGCTGCCAACATTGTGTTTCCAGATACAATATTATCCTGCAAATAACCCAAAAAGCCAGCTATTGTTTTGACTTTAGGACATACATATTTCTAAGATGATGAAGACATCAAATAGAACCCAAATCACAAACACACAACTTGATCTTTACTATAAAAATGTGTCAGGTGAGCCAACTTGAGAGTATTGGTAAATTCTTCAGCTGGCAATGATCTTAGTCTCCATCAGGGACAAGCTGCCTTAAAATAAGACCCTTGAAAGGAGTTACTCCAGACCCTCAGGGAGAAGAGCTTGTCAACTGCCAAGTAATTTCAAGAGAGAATTCAGTTCCTCTGGAAACAGGTTTTGACAAGGGCTCTGTGTGCCAAAGGGTTGAGCAGGCAGAGGGCACTGGGTTCCCGCCCCTTCCATGATACTTGAGGCTTTGCTCTCCAAACAGATGACTTCATTCCCAAAACAATGCTTTTTTCTGAGAAGCTGCCAGTTCATACACATTATAAAATAAATTCTATCATTGAAATTGGAGTGGCAGAAACTGCAAACATTGCTTTTTAAAAGTACACAAGTTGGAAAAGGTAAGCTGGAAAAGGAACACAATTTCTCCTCCAAAAAATAATTTCTCTCCAAAAAGGTAATCATAAAAACTAAACATCTAATCAACAATCACTTTATCTGCCACAGTATTGACTAAGGAGGTATGCGAAGCTATGCACAAGGACTTTACCTCCGCCTGACTACAGTGTCTTGGAGAATGAATCCTAGTAACGTCTAAGTCTTCTCTCCCCTTAGCTTCTCAGGAAACCACCTTAATTAAAGGAAGAAAAAACCAACAGATGATGTGTGCTTACTCAAAACCTCATTGTTTTGTTTTGTTTTTAACATCCCATGTCCTCTATCTCCCAGGGGATACCAGAGGGTAACAGAGGTACAGACAAGGAGGACTCTCTGCATGTCATTATTCTCCCTTCAGTGCAAACAGTGAGGCAGGAGAAGAGACACTTCTCCCTCGTGATGCTTGCCCTGAGCCCGCATGAGCCTGAGCCATGGCTGTGAACACACTTGGAAGATATACAAAAAATGAGAGCTTGCACAGGATAAATCTATTCCATTATTTATACCCACCCCCAAACCTTTGGATTTCTTTGTCTATGTCAAGCGTCCTCAAACTTTTTCTGCAAATGTCCAGAGAGTATATATTTTAGGCTTTGTGGACCAATGGACTTTCTGTCTTCCCTTTCTCCTCCTCTTTTCCCTCCTCCTCCTTCTCTCATCTTCTTCTTTAAATTATGAAAACTGTTCTTAGCCCACAGACTTGACCCATGGACCATAATTTGCTGACTCATACTCTACATTATGCCATAGAAGTTGTGACATCTCTGCCTCATGGAATATAGGCCATCATTTAGCCCAAGTTTCAGTCAACTAACCACACTGTCAGGCCACCTCCAGCTAGTTATGCTGACACATTAAATCCAGAATCTCTGGTAAGTGTACTCATGTCAATAAATTCAGGCTGACTTCATATTATATTCTGTTCTCCTTGGTCTAATATACTTAGAATTTATTCTCACAATGCTCCATACTCCCCAGATGTTTGCTGTTAACTAAATCATGCAGCTCTCTGGAAGTCTATGCTAACTCTTTCCTGTACCTGAGGAGATCTGACTTGATGTACAAGTCTTGAGGCAATGAAGAATGGGTCTTGATGGGAGTGGGAGAATAAAACACTCTCACAAGACAATAGGATAAGATGAGATTAAGAGTTTTCAACCAGGGAAGAGATATCCTCGGACATGGAAGAAGGAGCTTGTTCGACTAGCAAGGAAGTTTAGGGATGCTTGCAAAATTCAAAATTGTTGGCTTTTTCTGAGTCCATTCAGAACACCCTTATTTCAAATATCAAGGTCCCACTTCTTCCCAATCAGTTCTCCAACTTACATATAAGAATTTGGTGAGTCTGTTATTTCAATTTAGATTCTAATTTTGCAATCCACATAAATCTGGAGTTTGGCTTTCAGTGATGGTTGTTCCACAGCAACGGGAAATATAATGGTCTTTTATAGAGTAATCGTAGAAGTTCTCTGGCTTTCTGACTGACACTTTAGCTGAGAATTTAAAAGCCTAAACTTGTTTTTTTCTTTTTACTATTCCTCCAGTGCAGACAGAAAAAAACCATCTCATGCAACAGTCCTTGCAGCCAATATTGCTACATAAGAGTCAAGCACAGTTGCCATTTGGTGCCCCAAGAAATGTACTTTATCAGGAAACTTAATAGAAACTTTATCCTAAGTGACAATAGTTGATAGTTTAATTATTATCTACTGCATACCATGAACTAAGAGTATCCTTTGGAAAGGAGCTCAGGGCTGCATTCAAAGCCAAAGTCATAACCAAATCAATCCATAAATATCATCATGTATAGTCTGTCCAATAGGACTATTCTTATTAGAAAAAATCTATCCATTTGAAAGAAGAAATAAAGAAGAGAAGGAAAGAGGAAGAGAAGAAGGGGAGGGAAGGGAAAAGGGAATGGAAGGGGAAGGAAAAGGGAAGGAAAAGGGAAGGGAAGGGAAGGGAAGCGAAAGGATTATACCAAATATTTAAATAAAAAGAATTTAATACAGTAATCTCCCCTTATCCATGTGGCATATGTTCCAAGGCCCCCAGTGGAGACCTTAAACAGAAAATAGGATTGAACCCTATGTATACTATGTTTTTTCAATCTAAAACCAAGACGGCTACTAAGTGGCTAACAGGGAGATAGCATCTCCAGTGTGGATATGCTGGACAAAGGGATGATTCCTGTACTGGGAAGACCACAGCGAGACCCAGAGGGATGGCACACATTTTATCACACTACTGAGAATGGTGCACAATTTAAAAAGTAAGAGTTGTTTATTTCTGGAATTTCCATTTAACATTTTCAGGCCACAGCTGACCATGGATAACTGAAACCACAGAAAGAGAAACCATGGATAAGGGAAGACTACTGTTTAGGAAATTGTTTTTACAGTTGTTGGAAATATGAAAGAACAAATGGAAAGCATTAAAATAACCCAGAGATAAGAATCTACAACCCTTAGGACTAGGTGAATAAAAGAGAAGTGTTTGGGATTATCAAAACCTGGAACCTCAAAAGAGGGCAATCCATTAAACTAGGGCTTAGCCCTCTGAGGAGATAGTACTGTACTTCCCAGCTGCTGATAGAATCTCAGAGTCTCAGAGGAGCCGCCCCATTGAGCTGGGGCTCAGATCTCTGAGAAAGAATGAACACCTGGCTCCCAACTATATCCCTGGAGAGGTAAGATGAAGCTAGTTCTGGCAATGGTAAAAGAAAACAAAGACAAGAGTAAACTTTCACTGACAAGACCAACAAGAAATAGGAAATAAGCTCCTACCTTCCAGTCTTCTCCCAGTGACAGAAATTAACAGAACCCAAAAGGAAGTCATCTGGCAAAACAGTATGGGATATGCAATTGGCAGAGTTCTAAATCTAGCACCACAGAGCAGAGTATACAATTGTGGGCTTGGGGATGAGAGTCAATAGGCAAGCTATCAACACAGATAGTGGTATGTTTCTCAGTGTCTTTCTGTTTAAAATAGGCCTGGTGGCTTCTATACCTTTTAACATTTTATAAGTACACTCATTACTTTTAAAAATTTTTTATTTGCATAGGTTATTTGGGAACAGGGGGTATTTAGTTACATGAGTAGGTTTTTTAGTAGTGATTTGTGAGATTTTGATGCACGCATCATCCAAGCAGTATACATTGAGCCCTATTTGTAGTCTTTTATCCCTCAGTCCCTTTCCACACTATCCCCGAGTCCCCAAAGTCCATTGTGTCATTCTTATGCTTTTGCATCCTCATAGTTTAGCTCCCACTTGTGAATGAGAACATGTGATGTTTGATTTTCTATTCCTGAGTTACTTCACTTAGAATAATGGTCTCCAATCTCCTCCAGGTTGCTGCAAATGTCATTAATTCATTCCTTTTTATGGCTGAGTAGTATCCCATCATATACATACCACAGTTTCTTTATCCACTTGTTGATTGATGGGCATTTGGGCCGGTTCCACATTTTTGCAATTGTGAACTGTACTGCTATGTTAATACTTTAAAATTACATTCTTGTCTGCCACACCAAAATCCAAGCCTTAGACAGGAGAACCATGCCTCCAAATGCTTCTTCACACAACATCTGTGAATTATCACAATTTAATTTTCTTACCTCAGTTCTCTTCTTAGTTTTGGCAGATAATGCTGAACACTGAAGTAAATTCAAAGCCAAAGTCATAACCAAATAAATCTACAAATATCATTATTTATAGTCTGTCTAATAGGACTATTCTTATTATAAATACTATACCCATTAAAAGAAGAAAGAAAGAAGGGAAGGAAGTGAAAGAGAGGAAGAGAAGCGGAGAGAGGGAAGGGGGAGAAGGGGGAAGGGGGAAGAGGGAAGGGGGAAGAGGAAAAGGAAGGGAAGAGAGAAGGGAAAGGAAGGGAAGAGGGAAGGGAAAGGAAGGGAAGAGGGAAGATAAGAGAAAAGGGAAGAGGCAAGGTAAGAGGGCAGGGGAGGAGAGGAGAGGGAAGGGAAGGGGAGGGAAGGGAAAAAAGAGAAGAAGAGGGGAGGGGAGAAGAGGGGAGGGGAGGGGAAAGAGAAGGGAAATGTGTTTTCTAAAGCAAATGTTAAAAAGAGGATATAGATAAACATCACCAAAAAGCTGAAACAGGGCCACAGAGGAGCCAAGCTCTAGTATATTCTACAGAATAAGTCTTGGAGTAACCAAGAAGCACTACCTTCCATCTATAATATGAGACAATAATAACAGTAGTAAAAATGTATTGAGCTAAGGCACTATGTGCTAGGTATTAAGTTATTAACACGCATAAATTCATTGTATTTTCCTATCCTATGCAGTACAAGTTAATGTTATTTTTTATTACAGATGAGAGATTGAGAAACTAGCCTGCATTAGTTTTATCTATATCTTAAAACAATGTATAAACTAGGAATATTATATAGAGAGCTACAGCATATATATTTAGATAGGTAGATAGATGAGAGAGAGAGAGAGAGATTTAACTCTTCCTAGGCTCACCCATTTGAAGAATCCAACACCTTAACAAACACAGTCACATTGACATTTGACACAGAAAGAGTCTTTGGCAGTTTCTTTGGTCTATTTCCAGTGAAAATAGAGAGCAATAAACTCATTCCAGATTCAGATTCCAGAACTTTCAGAGGCTGGAGATAGTGGCGATCTGTCTGTGAGGCCTCTATGTGTATCATTTCTCAGAAGCCAGCTAGCAGACCAGGCCACCTGCCAGAAAATGGTTAGCACATTCATGTCAGCTGGTTTGTCAGCCAGGTACCATGGCTTTTTCTAAGTCATGGCTTCCAAGCCATGAGAACATAAAACCACAATGGCAGCCAAGATACCAATAAGAACCCTTTCTTTGTATGCCGCACTAGTGGCTCTACAAAAAGGTATGTGACATATTTTTGTGCAGTGTAACTGGCAGTTCAGAGCAGCAAATCCCTTCTGACCTGATGTGTCTCCTCCACAGCTGTTTTGAATTCACTTTCTGTAGACAAAAGCAGAGTGAGTGAGAAAATAAAGGATACTTTGATATTTGTTAAGAGAGACTACAGCCAAGTTCTCTCCCAGATCATTTTGGAGCCCTGTCCAATGGTTAAAAGACACATCAAATTAACTCAACTCTAAGAGTCTAGTTCTCTCATTGGAAATTCTTAATTTCTCAGTATTGTACTAAAGGGATTTCTTTTTTTCAGTTAACC